TGTTAGTGGTGCAGTGCACGAGGCATTGCACGAGTCACAGACACCAACACACAGCGACACTAGCCAACACAACTACTCGCTCACACACACCTACTCGCAGACACCTCTACACACAAACCAACACCTCCTCTGCATGTCCTGCCTCCCTCCTCAATCCAATACCTCCTTCATACAATCGACCAACAACCCAAAAAGAGATGACCTCCAAAGATGGAACCAGTCTTCAGTTTTGGTGGGAAATTAAATGGACGCCACACAATGTCACGTTTTTAATGTGGCTCACCTCCCTCCCTAGCTCTAACATTCTCATTTTAACGAGCCTCGCTCAAGAAACGATGCAGATTCAAATCCTCACGAAAATGCCACTGATTATGCGGTTAATGTCCAAAAGTGCATGCAAGGGTCACACGCACGCACACGGAACGAGCGAACCGGCATCCTCGCTCTCGAGCGTGCTCGGGGAGCCGTGCCGAGCGTGATAACTCAACCACTGGTGGCGGGGGGGGGGACACGGTAGGGGCACAGCACCACGTGGTGTTCACGGTGGCACCGGTTCTCGTCTCCGGGGGGGGGCACCACCATTTGACAATGTGGAAGCAACGATCGTTGGGTACACCTTGGTAACTCCCCAGTTGAATGCGGCGTCTCTGAGCGCTGTAGCCGAGGAGTTTGGGCGCAAGCAGCTGGCGCTTGGCAAATGAAGGCAAAGGGTTTGACCAGTGGCACACAAAGTGTGTTTGGTACGAGCTCTGCTACAAGGAAAAAAATGGGCCACTTTTTCCAACTTCTCCCCCCACCTTCCAGCCCGTAGTAGCCAGTGCAGTTCCACCACCTGCACAACCAAATGAGTTGGACTCTCTGGCTCAGGCTAGAATGCACTATTTTTTAAGGGTTCAACATTACTTTCTAAGCTTGTAGCTAACACACGCGAGTATACGATGAGTATTCATTAGGGTTTCCTTTCCCATTGAAGAGAAACCCAAATTGTTACTGGAGCCATGTAAGGTACCCCGCAGCATTCTTCTGCCAACGTGTCACCCCCAAGTGTTCCGTCCATCGGCTACAGCGTCTCTCCCCTCCGCTGCAACAAAGCCGACTTCAACTTCATCGACAGTAAATTCAATCCGTGATGTACTGTGGATTTAACAATAAAAATGTACGTAACCAGAATAATACATACAAGTCAAGGTTAAAATTTGAATCAGCCGACTCCTTAAATCTGTATCCACCCACCCACCCTCTTACCTGTAAACTCTACGGTTCAGAACTCATAGTCTGCTAGGTAGAGGGGCCAGCTTCAGTCCCCCCCCCCCACCCAAGACCAACTTGCCTCCGTTGGCCTTCACGTGATGCCGCACTTTTTTCGCTGTGCCAAGTCTCATCGACGTCTCTGCCACAACTAAATTGACGCACAGCGGGCGTGGCACCCACGGATACTACCCCCGCAGCAGCAAGGGTGGTGTCACGCTTGTGCTGTGCCGCAAGTGGCCTGGCTCGTCCCACTTGGACGGTGAACCACCACCTCCCACGCTGCACTGTCGAGCAGTGGGCCACGGCGGCAGGGCAAATGCCCCGCTCCGATCGGACAAACCATACCAAGAGAACTTCACCACGTGGTGAGATTTTTTTTCCCACAGCGTTTTGTAGTGCAGTCGCCCATTACCCCTAAAAATAATGGAAACGCGCGGTCGCTGTACTGAACGAAAATAAAAGAGAAAAATTTTGATTAACAATCCCAATACAGAAACGACGATTGGGTGGTATGACGCCTGAATTAGCTACATGATCTCATGAGGTCGCTGTGGCTTTCGCCGCACTCGCAGCGCCGCTCACCCCGCCCGACTCCTGCACGGACATAAACATTATTAACGCTCCAGTAAATTTCAGACGCAACGTCAAGGCAGAGTTCACAGCACTCAATGTCCCATGCCCCAACGGTACAGCAACGCCCAAACACACCCCCCCCCCACCTCCCCAAGCGCACCACCACACAATTTATTTATACTTGGCAGCAATCAAATCAAAGACAGCACTGGCCACTCAAAGCCAGCCTTTTAAGCGCAAGCAAAGATGTGTCAATTTCACGCACGCAAACAAAACTGTGTGAGTTTCATGCCTTTTGAAAACAATTCTTTATAAGGGGGGAAAAAATAATTCATTGTCAAAATGTTTGTTTAAAATGTTACAATATACACGCGTGGAAGCCCTCGCCCTGCCGTGGCGCAAGCCTGCCCAGCATTGTGTGGCGCCAGTCGACGTGATGAGATGAAATGTGCTTCAGCAGCAACAGCTGCAGCATGACCATGGGTACCATCGCGCCACGGGTCCGCTACGCAACCCACGGCACGCGCCGTTTGTGCGCACAGGTACCGGGGCTTGGCTTCAGCCGGGTCTAACCACGCCGGTGACCCGCTAAATATTTCCGCTCCCCGGTCCACCACATCCAGAATACCTCTCGCGCTCTGGCCATGGCTATGAGTCAACGACTCCGTTCTGCCAGCGACCTTGTTGTAATTTTGTATGAACTGGAGCCCTGGGCTGGATTCACCGACCACAGACCGCGCATGCACACAGGCGGGCGACCAACCTCTGTTCGCACGCTGAGCCGGCCGCACGGGAGTCTGCTTCTACGCTGGCTAACTGCACCTGCAGGAGCGAGCGAATGACCGAGCGAGGCACTGGGTTTGGTGGTGGTGGCGGTGGTGGCCACTTCTTCAGCCCCACCCGTAGCTCCGCCGGCGCTGCCGCCGTCCATCACCAGTGGTGGTGGTGGTGGTACTGGCGCCAGACGGAGCCTGAGCGGCGAGCATCACAGGCTGATGAGATCCACGAGGTTCCCTTTGGGAGGGGTCATGCTCTCGGGGAAGAAATTGACGAGCGTGTCGAAGAGCTGCGAGCGGCGGGCATACGTCTCATCCACGTCCGAGTAACCTGCGGGGAATGTGATGGGACGGTGATGGGGGGGGGGGAAGTCCAGCAGGCTCAGTGGCGGGGGTGGTGGCAGAGGGGCCAGTCCTCTCCGCTGAAACCGTCCAGATTGTGTCTACAAAACGTGACTGTTTTGAAAGGCTTAACGCATCCTCACGGAAGCCGCCGATGAAGATTTAACGATAGCCCGCCAATTTCAAACTGCAGGGCGCATAGCAACTACACCTGCCGATTTCAATCATTCATCGGCAGAGTTTCACATATTCACAATGAGACTCTTGCCGAAACTGTCCACCTGGCTCGCTCAGCAACCTCAACAGGAACCATCGCTCAAAAGCTATTGCCTTGTGGGTCTAAGTTGGTATGTAGCGATTCACCTTCCCGCCGAGTCAATGGAATACCACGATTCGGTGTCATGTTCTTACAGCTCATTAGTCCAGTTTCAACCGGACAGTTTAATTCGCTCCCTCGTCCTAAACATTAACATGGGCACAATCACTTTCGTACAACTGGCATGAATTCATGATAGTCCTAAATCGCAACAAAGCCACCGCGTGCAGATTTCTCGGATGAATGAGCGCTGTTACGAAATACGACTCGTGGACGTCACGCCGAGATGGGGGTGCCGGACACGCACGTGCGTCGCGCCACTCACCCAGGGGGATGAAGTCTGACGTGGTTTTGAAGAGAGACGACGTCAGCAGCTGGAACTGTCAAAGAGAAACAACACGGCAATGCACTGCTGGACGAAGGCCTCGGGCGTGCGGTAACGGTCATTGGAGTTTGACCATACTTCACGCCACTTAGTGCGAGTTGGTAAAAGGGGTGGGTGAGCAAGGAGGAGGTCCTTGACCAGTTCAGATGTCACTCGCCACCGATGTTAGCGGAGGCCGGGAATTAACCTTCGGCCGTCGGGTTCATAGCGTAGCGAATGAATCATCGCACTCCCCCGGTTATCTCACGGCCTCTTGGTAGCTGGAGGGCGTGCAGATCCCATGCAGGTGGAAGGTGAGAGATTATTCCAGACGGTGGAACAAAAACATCTGTTCCACACGGGCGATACAAACGAGCCATTCCACTCACATGGGTGCTCATCTGTTCCCATAAGCCATAGATAACAACAGCCGCCACTAGTGGTGGTAACGTCACCACACCACTTGTAAGAGGCTAGGTGCACTTCTAAGGCAATCACGTGATGCGAGTAAGGATCGCTGCTGGCAGGAGGTCAAAGGACAAACTCAGGTGCCATGGGTTGACTGAGGTGGCTGGCAGATGCACCACCTGTGCTGCCCCTTTGTGCCACCTCACTGCGTTTTTTTCACACCCCGCGCTCCGCTCGTTTTGCTGCGTCGCTCCTTCGCCCTCACACACGTAGAGAGCCTGCTCGCAACTCGGCTGTTGCCCCTGATGAGAAGCCGCTACCTCTTTCGTCTCGGTGGGGTCGGAGTGATCCACGGTGTCGGCCAGCTCCGTCTGCAGGTACGTGAGCGCCGCCACGGGCTCCGTCACCGCCTTCTCCTGGAACCTGCACGCGCCACCACCGGCCCCCCCGTTGTTAGCTGCGAGACTAGCTGTGGAGCGAGCCCGGCTGCGAGGCGAGACTGTGGCTGGTGGGCGAGCCGAGCAGAGCGGAGAGTCTAGCAGTAGATCGAGCCTGACCTGTGCTTGCGGATGAGGTATCGGCAGCGGCGCAGGAGGTCTTCGCGCGCCGGCCGGCACAGCTTGAGGGCCCAGAAGTCGTCCAGTCGGATCTTGGGCAGGGACGGCTTCCCGGGGTTTCCCCCAAACAGATAGTGCACCTGCCGGAAACGTTCACGTCGGTTAACATGCGGCCTACGACGGGAGGTGGCCGAGCGGCTTGGAGGTGTCATGCCTGAGATCCCGGATTCGAGAATCTGGGATTCAGCCACCTGTGATTAACTGGGTTTCTCAAGCAGAGCAGGTTGATATGTCGCATACAGAACGGCACTCGCGCGAAGTGAGGCCTACTTGAAATTACAGAACCAGGGACCACATGGATTACACATTCTACGCAGGTGGATGACACCATTAGAATCGTTGTGTAAAGTAAGCGGGGCTTGGGCAGGACACGTCACTGTAAGCGGAAACGGCTGACGGTTGAGAATAATGAAAGAGTGGCAGCCTGGGGATGGGACGCGTCAAGGTTGGACATCCACCGAGGAGATAGAGCTGCGAGATCAGCTCGTGCGCAGCAGGGTGGCTCGCCAAATGATGACGGCTGCTTATGGATCGATCGTGGCCGATGCTTAACGGTGAGCATGGAGGGGCTGCTGCTCACCTTGTGCACCTCGTCATACACGAGCTGGTGAGCAAAGCGAGGGCACGGCTCCTCCTCCACGCTGCCGCGTCCGGCAGCCCCTTCCTTCCCGGCCTGGAAGTTCTTGTAAACGCACGACCTTGGGGTGTACAGCACACGGTGCACGCAACTCAGTAACTTGCATAACAAATAAGACTAGGTTTAACCCTTTCTGGAAATAAAACTGGTGTTAAAATGTTCAAACACCAAATAGAAACCTTTGAAAGGAATCAAGTTCGCATTCTTTGGGTCTTTCAGTAAAGTCACGTAGATTGGTTCAAAGAAAATAACCAAAAACTACGACGTTTCGATCGCAACACAAGCGTTCGTCTTCCTGAAGACCTTCCTGATGATGAACGTTTGTGTTGCGATCGAAACGTCGTAGTTTTTGGTTATTTTCTTTGAACCAATCTGCGTGACTTTACCGAAAGACCCAAAGAATATCAATTCCTGCAGTCACGAAAGCTTTAAGTCAAGATTTAATTAAGTTCGCATTCACCGCACGAACTTGTGGTGAATACATGCAAACAAAGCATGCTCTGATAATTATCAATGCATATATTATAATATATGCATTGTCTTTGAAACTGATTGGCCTATACAAGAGACAGCTTTCTTTCGCGCCTAGTCTCACCAGTGTCAGACCAGAGAACGCCAAAAGGCGAAGTGGGACCTCGCAGTGGACACAGACGCTACTGACAAGTGGCGACCTGCTCAGCGATCGGAAGTAACGTAATTCATCGCCATGTGACACGGTTGCGATCCACGACGTGTCGTTAAGATCACAAATAGGCCGCGTGTACAAAGCAGTCGTTCGGTGACGGGAGGATCAGGTTGCGTGATTCCTCAGCCTCGTCGCGTAGACGAGTCCAAGAAAAAGGACATCGGGTGACCCGTCCTTGCGCATCCGTCTGTGGCAAAATCGCACCGATCACACGGCTAACGACTCTCTCCAAAGTTCAACGAAGATGACATGACGGGGAAGCGAGCCCTGGTGTGCGGCGTGGGTCGTAAGGTCCGAGCGGGGTACACGGTGGACCCCTTGTCCCGCTCGCTTCCCGTCGGTCCGCACCACACGCACCTCCGATTAGCCCGGCTGGCTATGCACGGTGCGAAACAAGTTCAACATACATACATAGGTAGGCGGACGAAGGGAAGGAAGGCACGCGGGGTGTCGCGGCGGGTGTGGTGGCGGCTGCAAGCTCACCAGGTGTTGTGGACGATGTGGTAAACCCAGAAGGAGTTGCGTACGTTCTCCTCGCGCTTCTCCTTGTCCTTGCTCAGCCCCGACAGCACGTGGATCTCGTCCAGCTCGGGGTCGATGGTGGCGCGCTGCGTGAAGCCCGTCATCGGCACTGCCCGGGCACGTAATCGCCCGCGTAACAACCATGAGGGCACGACCGGCATGAGACACCAACGCGCACGCACGTACGTCAGGAATGGCACGGCACAATCGTTACGGCATTACCGGCAGCAGACACAGACACATCACAACCGGCATGGCACAACCGTTTCGGGATGCACACAGCACATGGCACACACACACTATTACGGCACAACAGCCACGTCACGGCACACACGAGACCACCTCGTATGGTACACATGCGGTACTTGATGTACGGCATGCACCCTATAACCACTTTTGGTTACGCGACAAATCGTTTAGCATAGCACTCTATTTTACAGCTAACATATCTCTGTTTCGAACTTTGATTAACAAGTTTGTAGTTTCATAAACTTTTCAAAATATAAAAAACGATCATCACAACAAGCGATAGTTTGCAAAGTGGACAACACGGGGTAAGGCGTAGCCGAGAGCACCTCATCACCTCGGCCACACCGCACGCGCCGCGTCTCACGCCATCTCACCCATGCCGGACTCCTTCTTGGTGCCGTCCGAGATGATGTCCACGTGGTCCGTGTCCACGTTGTAGCTGAAGAAGTCGTTGAGGTACGTTTTGGCCCGCTGCCCACCAAACACGTACAGGTGGCGGTTCTTCTGCGGACACACAAGCGGACACACACGCGGCGGACTCTCACTCACTGGGCCTGTCGCTCAGCGTAATGAGCAAAAGCGCAGAGAGGTGGTCGCTCAGTGCCGTGACCTCGAGGGTTATTTATATCTCACATGCGTGCGTCCAAGTTTATATATTCCTGGCCCCACCAGCCCCTCCTATGCCGTACCGGCCCTAATGAGTTCTCACCAAAAGCACTTTCCCCAACAGTCTGTTAAAAGGCAATACGGGGGGGCACCTTGTGTTCGAGGGGAGCGGTAGTGCAGCTTATAGCATGCTTCGCTACAAACCTGGCCACCCGAGTTCGATTCCCACTCACGACCAATGCCAGTGACGATTATATGAACCGTCCTGGGCCTCCTCTAGGTCAAGTCAGCCTCAAATGAGTACCTTGTGCAGTGTGTAAACATTGCCAATGGGGCAATAAAAGTTTTGAAGCATGGTTCTGACCACCCACCCCCTCGTATATACCGTGCCGGCCTTCATAGGAGCTCAGACCACGTACAACTGTTGCATGAAAAATCTAAATTATTCCACAAACATAACTCAATGCTCAATAATATATTCCCTGTAGCGTGATCAATCGGCTCAGGCAGATTATTTTTAGACTAATAAGAGTACAATTACAAATTCAATGAAACATTAAATAGGTACAGGGTGACAATTGTGCTACAATATACGAGTCAAATGCAATTGCAAGTGCAGTTTCCATTAAGGATCGACAGCTTAGCATCAAATTACGATTGAGATGGGAGATGTTTAACCGGGTACATGTCTGAAACAATTCAACACATTCATCAATAACACTGCCCTCTGCTTAAGGCCGCAGCGTTATCAACGAACGCGGCGAGATAATTTTTCCCGTTATTCGTGCATCCACTGCCAAGCAGCAGCATCGCCACCACCAAACAATTGGTTGAATGTTTAGGAAAGGGAATCTTTTGGAGCTGCGGGAAAATCTCGCTTGTCGCCGCGCACCGTGTGGAAGAGCATGCAGTGGCCGATTCGGGACTGGATCTCCTCAGGCCCGGCGTTGCTGGAGTCCTCGCGCAGCAGGCGCCAGCAGCGTGTGGGGCAGTGGTAGGCATACAGGCCGCTGAACTGAGCCTCCCCGCCACCGCCACCGCCACGGTTCTCGTCGCCCTGGCCCCCGCCGGTCAGGATGCGGCCCCCGAACGTGTAGACCGTGTGCCACTCCGAGTCCATGCACATCTGGCGTGGAGAGGAGGGCACGGGGAGAGACGATCGGCGTGGGACGCAAATACCTTGTGCCTGGTGCCAAAAAAGATTTTACGAATCTGCTCTCACGCCGACGCATCCCCCAACTTTTGCTTTAAGGTACAAGAGAAAAAAGTGCATCTTATAATCCAGAGAATACGGAAACACACAAAACGCAGTGTCCAGAAAGTAGCTTTTGTTGCGAGTAGATGGAGGTAGGTAGAAAGTACAGCCCCTGTCAATCGACTATTGGATGAAGGCCCCCCACATGCCGTATCAGTCACGAGGTAGTTTCACCGTACTTCACCACGCCGGTAAATGCAGATTGGTGCAGGTGGAGGAGTCCAGGACCGGTTCAGATATAACTCGTCACTTACGTGAGACGTGGCCAGGAATTGAACTCGCTGGGTTTACAGCACGTGAACCGCTGCACCAATCAAAGCACAACTGACAGAAGAACCTCTACTCTTTCAAGAAGTGGCAGTACACACTCTTTAACCCACCACGCGTCCTACCAAACCACTGACTGTGGTGTACCCATTTATACTGCCTGATGGACAGAGGCGGAATGGTGGATTTGAGAAACTTGCACCGTTGTTTAAGCAGCTAGGCAGGAAGATGGACCAAAACCAGCGGCCAGTGTGATCACCAATACAACCAATGCAAGAGAGGTGATTCGTAAATCAACAATATTTCTTTCTACAAACACCTTGCTGAAAATCTCACTCCATAAAGCACACAAAACTGCTGTGTGTATGTGTATGCGGGCATACATTGCGTGCGTGGGTGGGCAGCACTGTGTGGGGGTACAGTGGGAGCACAAACAACCCATTAGGCCAAGGTCATTGCCAACATCAGCTGGCCAGGGCAAAGGGTGGACCGGGGATTTCAGTACAAAAACAACCGCAGTGGCGGCGACGGCGGCGCGCAATCACAATCGCTCGCGCTAAAACGCGGCACGACCGCCGAGCACGCAGGCGGTTGCCAACTCCAAACCCAAATGGACTCGCTCGGTCACTCGCCTGCAAAAATCGTCACCACTGACGCAATGGAACGCACGAAAATCGCCGACCAGCGGGCGCTGGCCCGAATCACGCGCGCAAGAGATTCCCACAGTGGAGCGTGGCAGGGCTCTGCCGAGCGCTCGCTAACCACTTTCAGGAAGAGTCGGTGTCCTTTTGTCGGCTCGGCACCAATTAAATTCATCTTAAATTTTGATTTAAAGCTTTCGTGACTGCAGTAATTCATATTCTTAGTTTTTTCGGTAAAGTCACGTTGAAGAGAAACAACAGAATAACAAAATATAAATAAAACAATAAAAAATTCTCACGACGTTTCGACCATAACTCAAACGGTCATCATCAGGTGTGTCGGTTTGCATAAATGTATTTTTAAAACGGCATATTTATTTATTTAAAAAAAAACGTTTGCGTCACGCGCAGCGATTGGCAGTTTGCCCAGGACTAGTCCATCTATTTTTTGAAAAGAGGAGGGGGGAGACGAAATTTTTTTTTATGTATGCAAAACGTCGTGAGAATATTATTGTGTTATTTTATTTTATCAATTTATTATTTTATTCTCATTCTACGTGACTTTACCGAAAGAACCAAAGAAGATGATTTCTTGCAGTCACGAAAGCTTTAAATCGAAATTTAAACCAATTAGATTTGTCCACCCCTCTGTGTACTCATCTCCTATCGCGCCTCTCTTTATCACATTCCTTTGTCTAACTCTTCCTACTCTTCCCCTTCTCTCCCTTTCCTGTCTCTTGCGTTTCTATTTCCCTTGTTTGCTGGACCACTGTTGGGGGGGGGCACCTATTTTCCATGCATCACATTCTCTGGCTCAGTTCTTTCCTGTGTATGTTGTTCTAGTAAAAAAAAACTCTCGCGGATGATGATGTCACTGCCTCGCCTGGCGGTCAACGACTCGACTGGAAACATCATCGCTGGCGGGAAAGGGAGTGGGGGGGGGGCTCAACAGCCCTCCGTCTAATCAACAGCGGTGGAGGAATCAACGAGGGAAGGTGACGAGAACGATAACAATGGTAGTAGCGATAGAATAGCGACCGAGCCGAGTGAATTAGTGAGCGCATGAAAAGAGCTTCCGGGCCTGCCACGTCTTCCCTCTCCACACCGCCGCCGCCGTCTCACCTGGTGGTCGAAGACGAGCTTGGGCCCCCCGTCGGCCGACGTGTCCTCGCTCAGCAGGCTCCAGCTGCTGCCATCAATCGAGTAGCGGTAGAAATCGCTCTTGAGCGCGTTACTGCTACGCACCAGCGAGTCGAGGTAGCGCCCCAGCGTGTAGATGTGGCGCCGCTCCACGTCGATGCACATCTTGTGGCACGAGCGTGCGCTGGGGCCTCCCTGTGTCGTATAGGGGCGCCACGGTGGCAAGATGTTAACTACCTCACCTGGTATATAGGTCACAGGTTGGATCCCGACCCTGACGCCAGCTGTATATTTGCAGTTTGCGTGTCTCTCTCCGTGGTCGTGTGGATTTTTCTCCAGATGCTCCAGTTTTTCTCACCACATTTAGAATCAACATGAATGATGAGCATTTAGCCGCTATAAATTTCCACATGATAAGCCACTTCGTTGAGATATCATTAGTAGCCAGGTCGCTTCTGAAAAAGAGCTATATAGCTCGGTGGGCCTCCCCTGAAAAACATTTAAATCGCAGTATCGTATACGACATGCGGGATAGGTGCAGGATGGGGGACGGCAGTAGGGGAGACGGGGTGAAGGATCTACACTCACAAGGCCCTCCTCCTGGAGCATCATCATCAGCCGTTGTCATTCCACTGCTGGATGAGCGCTTCTCCCCAAGCTCTCACAATCCACCAGGCACCTGCACGCGGAGTCCATCGCTTCATCTCCCAGTTGGACGTCCCCTGGGATGCGACCCGCGCCTTTGTTGCCACTCCTGTCACTATTGACCATCGTCCATCATCCCATCTAAGTACTAGGTGCGACGCGCCCTGCCCAAGCCTTCTTAGTCGTCGAAACCAATAACCCACGTATGGTCTTCAATCCACGTGTTCCTCTTTATGCCCAAGCCTTCTTAGTCGTCGAAACCAATAACCCACGTATGGTCTTCAATCCACGTGTTCCTCTTTCGGTCTCCCTCCAGAGCAGGGTTTCTAAATTTCGAGTGTTGGTTACCAAACGACAGTCTGCCTTTCCCCATTTTCCAATCTACGTCCGTTCCAATACAATTTTAGTTGTGAAACACGACTCCCGCATTACGTAGAGTGGATCGATTCAAAATAAGATAAGAGATCCTGTGTGTGTCTGTGTGTATGTAAAGAGCTCATTTACATTAAAACCGAGTTACATATGAACCAAAAATGGGCTTGAGCTAACTTCACCAACCCGCATTGGCCAGCATAGTGAAGTATAGTCAAACAAACCCATCGAAAAAACACATTGGGAGACTTCATGTGGCAGTGGACTGCAACTTAAATGAATGTTACACAATTGGTTTACGTTAAGCCTGCAGCCACGAGTGGTGGACATTCACATCAAGGTAAAAATAATTACGTTGCTTCGGAATCGAATCGCCACATGGAACTGCAACGACTCCTGGAATGGCTGAGGAGTTCATTGTCGAGTGCTTGTGTTAACAAACAAAAAAATTCTGCAATTGAAATGTTAGCCCAGTAGAGAGCAGGCGTGAGAAACCCGTTCCGTGCCCCGGGAGTGCTGCATCAGACTCTCAAATGCCTTTGGCAACCCCAATAACAGCTGCCATTCGCCACTAAGTGGCAGTGATGTCACCACAGCGCTTGTACCAGTATCGGTTCTTAATTCCTTTGGCACTTCTGGCCGTGTTTTATACTTGCGCGATATCCAGTAATAAATTATGACGGTGGACCTCATGTGGCCCGTGGGTCGTATGATGTGAAGTCTTGGGGTGTATCTGGCAAGTGGGCCGTAGATTATCCATCCCTTTATCGGTGGCCGGGAATCAAACTTGGGTCGCCGATCAAGATGCCACTGCTATACCGCTGAGATCCTGGCTTTAAATCCAGGCAGCTGGCTGTAATTAAACTAGGTTCTCAAGCAAAGCAAGATGATGATGTCAGCCTGGTTAACAATGATTGCATCACATTAAATATGGTTCTGCAATTAATTTGGCTATGTCCTAGCTCTGGGAATAAAAAATACGAGTTTGACTGTCACGTGACGGACATTAAAAGGCAAGGCAGGTGGGAATGTGGTGCCATCTCCTGAGGTCATTTGATGGGAACTCAAGACGTAGCTCTGCAATATCCACATCTGCGGACCAATTGCCGACGGAATGGGGTTGTGACGTGACACTTATCGCACGTTCGGGATAAAACCGTTTTTTTGCCGGTAATTGGAGAAATAAAACCTCACCTCCTTGGCAGTGTCCCTGGAGATGCACGTCCACTGGCCGTTGGAGACGCTGTACGCCCAGAAGTCCGCGAGGTCCTGAGTTCCGTCCCATCCTCCAAACAGGTAGACGGTCTCTGTGGTACGCGAGCGGCCAGGAGAGCAAAACATCATACCTCTGCTCTGACGCAGGTTGCATTTCATCAACATCATCAGCACGAGGTTACGGGGCAGGCACAAGTGTTATGCGTTGACGGACTATATTGATTAGTTAGATGCACCATCTGTGCTCCCGACTACACCAGCTTTCTGTGATTTAGCTGCCCGGCGCTCTGCCGGTTGTTGTAAGCGTCGCTTCTGAGCCTCCAATTGGACAGCCATGTATATACACATATGCACACGGGATTTGACCTTATATTGAATCAGTACACCATGTCAGGTGGGACATGTATGTATACACACGTTCTCTATCTTAATTTCAATCAGTGCTGTCTTAATGGCAACACAAGTTATTAGATTTTTCATTTGTATAAAATCAAGTGGCAGCCAACCCACTGGACTACTTGTGCGAGTTGACAATCAGATTACTTATTCATTCACTAAATAAAGGTGATCTCTCTAAATGTTACAGACTTTTGTCATTTAAAGCCACGGTGTTACTGACTAACGTGTTGAGTGTTTTTGTTATTTGTGCTTTTGTGCCACGGGAGTGCAGCAGCATCACCCAAGTAATTTGATTAACTTCACACGCAGCATCATCATCACTGCAACTCGGGAGTTAGGCGAGACGTGTTTCGCAATCCCCAGGCACAATCAGCGCGCTATCAACTTAATTTACATTTTAACGGCAATCGCCAGTTAGACACAGACAGGCCACCTTACGGGACTGTCCGCCCTCACCTGTGTGGACGTCGATGACCATCTGGTGGCCTCCACGCATCCCAGGTCGGCTGTCATCGCCGTCATCTTAAGGACACAACAGCAGATGAGGTCAGTGCCCCATTTCCCACAAGCGAGACTAGGGATAATTCCTGCAGGGCAGCTCCCGAACGCATAACAGCTGCAAGAACCCCACCTTTGTAGCTCTTAGGTGTGATCTGCGCCCACCTGGGCTTGTACTCTTGCTGGCTGATGTAGTGGTTGAACAGCCCCTCTGAAACGACAAGCAGTGTCGAAACAACTCACAAGATGTCACGCACTTTTATTATTTGCAAACCATAATTATAAATTGTCGTGGAACAGTGGTGCAGGCGGTTAGTGCACCATGCTATAAACCCAGCCACCTCAGCTGAATTCCCGGCTACAGCTTAAATCAGCGGCGAGTGACATATCGGAACTGGTCCAGGGAGTGAAGTATAGCCAAACGATATGGCATGGAGAAGCCTTCCATCCAGCAATGGATTGGCAGAGGATAGTAAATAATAATAATTTATTATCTATAAACTCGCCAATTAAAGTGCGAGTTCAATGCAGGTTTGTGTTACTATGCAATGGGAAAGACATTTGCCCAGCAGTGGGAAGTTACAGCAAAACAACAAAAGCAGAAGCTGACAGGCAGTTGTCAGGGCAAAACACGTTGAAAGTACAAAGTCGCCTGAGCACTAGTTTGTGTGCCCAAGGTTTGGGAAACCTTTTGATAATTTTTCCAGTTTCCAACACAGTATATTTCTAAGAGCAACACAACTTTATACTCAGTTTGTTCGCGCTGGATCATCTGTACCAGAGTTATCGTACCTGCCGTGTTAAGAAACGATGGTCAGTGCCAACACAAACACTTAGTTGCAAAGCGTTCAAAATCAAACTGTAACGGATGATTCACTGCACACCTATCATACAGCGCTGCACTAGAAGTGTGTGCGCGGTGGCCTCACCGCCGACGGATTTCTCCACGAGCTGCTCGCAGGCGGCAAAGTCGCCCTTGAGCACGAGGCGGTCGTGCAGCTCCGTGAGCGTCGGGTGCTCCAGGGCGATGCGCGTCTTTTTCTGCAGCGACTCGAACGCCTCCGTGTAGTTGTGCTGACGGAAGTGCTTGAGGCACAAGCGGATCGCCTCCCGCTCGCGGTACTGTGCGGACGGAAACGATGGCTATGTCTCCTAGTCAACTACCGCCTACTACTCCAGGCCACCAGCAACCCAGAAATTGTGAAATTAAGCCCCGGTTCTAGCCGATAAAAGAGACGCCGAGATGTCAGTGTGTGCATTTGTTATTTCTTGGTTAGATTGCTCCAACGCGTTTTTTCTAGACTCTCTTGATGTAAAATAACGTGGGGTCACACTGCCTCGTAATGCTGCAGCTTGCGGAACAGCCAGATGGCCTTGTGCTCCCAGCACTCGTGGATTCACACGCAACAACAGCAGGAGATAACGTAGGTTTCCTGCCATATGGCAACACCATGATACACTGTACAATACAAAATTCACAATAATCACATCGTCAGTTCTATTTGCATTAGTTACATTTTCAGCAGTGTGGATTGGCCAATTACTTTGCCTTATTTTTGTTGCAAAGCACCCTGGGATGCTCTGTATAAAGATCGCTTATAAAAGCAATTTGTATGGAGTCTGCCGACATTTCTAAGCGAATCATTGGGCGTCTTTATCACGAGACACACCTTGCTGTACCAATGCAGGCAGGGCAGCACCACATCAGGAGAGTCCACCCCGTGCATCTCCACGTACCAGATGCTGAAGTTGAAGCTGGGGCCCCATGACAGGATGGGAACTGAGCACACAAATAAACAATTACAAGAACAATCACGCATATGTATGGATTATATAAGGCTTTCCAAAATGTGTTTGTCTCTGGAATTATTTAATTAGCGGATTACAGCAATACATTTACGAGCCGCAAAACGAGATGCTGTCACACAATGCATGACGGGTGACGTCAGGAGATGACATCACACATGACTTCATCGCCTTAGCCAACCAAGTGAGATGGTCGATGGCTCAGGTAAATGATTGATCATGGCTGACAATATGATCGGTGAGCTTATTAAAAATCAATATTCATAAAAAAGGTATGCATCGACGCAAGTGTCCAAGCCCACACCTATTTTAATCCAGCGGCAAGGAAACATCTGATCTTCGATCTTATGCTTCAGTGAAAAGGTCTCCTTGTTGTGGTCATTCTTCAGGCCGCTGCAAAGCACACAAATGCGTTAAGTGGATTTTTTTTTTGCCACAGTGGGAACTAAAAGAGGAAAAACAATAAAATACAATCCTCAACCACAACGATGCAGCTGGATTCATGCACTGAACACTTAAGATACTTTTTTTACAGAAATCTACTACAAATTCTATATTTTTCTAATGTAGTATAACTGATAATAATAGAAAAAAAAAGAAACATTTACAACTCTAGTTCTGTTTAACACAAAGGCTTAGTTCTTACATCAGCCTCACAATCCAAACCATGACCCCTCTCGACCCCTACAGATTTCCGGAACACGTAAACCGACCTAGCCAGGAGCTCCGTCATGTTGTCCTCACTCATGCCGCCGTAAATCTTGAACTTTTTGAGGTTGCACACATGCGTCTTCTCGTACTTGCCAAACGTGATGCTCTGCACCACGGCCGTGCGTGCCAGCTTCAGCAGTAGGAACTGAGCGAGATCAGAATGCGCAGCGGGGGAAAATTACTCAACGACCACACAAGTTTCACAGATTAATTAAATTCTTCAACCGGCGGGATGCTGCTGTATGGTCTAATGGTTAGCACGCTGGACTTGCAAGGTCTCTGGTGCAATCTCTGAATGTGATTTAAGTATCGTAAGAGCCTAAAACTAGAATTCAACCGACCAATTGATGAATCGTGAATTTCCTAGGGAAACCACTTTTATGCACCTGGCAGTTCACCAGCAATGGTTCGAGCAAGCCTGACTGCTGATGAGAAACAATGTCAATACAGTCGAGCAGTGTTCCCTCCACACCTGCGGAGGGTGGTTGCTGTCCGAGGACCATCGTGACGACTGGTCGTTGGAGATGTCCACGAGGATGTTTCTGGTGGGCGACGACACGGGGAGACACAAACCTCATCAAGAGAAACCCACAGAGCGATGGCAACCCACGAAGTTGCCTGTTCTCTGCAGCAACTCTTGAACAAAACGAGTTCATTTTCTTGAGCCAAGAAAAGAAACTGAAGCGGCATTTTCCACTCTGTATAATTTTTGCTGTTGCATACATTTTCCAAGCTTGACAATCTGTGTTTAAGGATGTTATGCTCTCCCTGGTTATGTCTGTATTTCACTGTCCTCTAACATTAATCCAGGTCACCTTTGCAAACAAGGCATGATGCAGGCATGAGTTTGCAGCTGGTGAAATAAAGTCTATTGTTTCTTATGATTTAATATGCAGATAAATGTTGCATCGCAAGGGATTGTGGCTCTGGGAGGCCTTTATCCAGCAGTGGATTGACCAGAGCTGTTGATAATTTGTGAAAATCAAAATAGCTTATGCCCCCATCCAACTAATGTGCGTTACAAACAAATGTGAAACCACTTACACTGCTGTATGAAATCGCTCGTTATTCGACATTGCTCATTTAAACACCGAACCTCATTTATATCGAACAGTCCTTGCCTAAGTTACAAAATAAAACCACTCAAGCATTTACAATCTACTCGCTCGCTAAGCGACGTTTCGTTATGAGGGTGCAATCCGAGTTCAGTGACACAAGATAACACTGCAGACCACGTGCAGCTATTCAAGGCGTTTGTAAAAAGAATGCATTGATTTGTATTGCAAAAAAAACCACTCGAGTAGTTTTACGATACTACTTACGAACCTTTTACAAGCCACAATGACATTAATTTATACCAAAGAGTGCTCTCCGACGCAAACTACGTAAACCGACTTCAGCTGCTGTACGCATCCGCTCATTAGTCTGCATTACAACGTGAAACAATCACTTAAGCTCGTCAACGTCGCCCTGATACGGAGACGATCACATAGCAAACTATCTTCCTACCTCTCTGGACTTTATTTTGATACGAAGGGACATTTGGGCAAAACGTCGCCTTTCATATACGTTTCGTTTTAAGGCAGTGTTGCAGACGAATGTTAATTTCAGGTTTTTTTTATATTACATGGCAGAACGACTCGAGTGGTTTCCAGAAAATAAAAGTAATCCTGCGTCTTCACAAGTGAATAAAAACCCGTTTTGAGTCTATCAGCCTATACAGGCTTTCCAGACCAAACTATTCAGGAGCATGTGTTTAAGCATGCAAACTATGGACCCGTTTCGACTTTCCCGGTCTCATCAGAAGACAGGCTTGCCAAATAGAAGTTGCTGGGTTGACGGATGTTTTGGCAAGAGCACTTCATATACTGAATATACACTCTTGGATCCCATTCAACGCATAAAACGTACTATACCGCACACTCGTCAAGCGTGGTCGTGGAGTGGTTGATATGTACACTACTCGCTCGGTAATACACACTGCCAACTAAGCGCAACCACTTACGTTGTTTTTTAAGTTGTATTATATAGACTGCTAAAGGCTCAATTCGTTTTACAAAACCGGCCACCAACCTCCCGCTACAAATGAATTAAAGCCGCTTCAACTACTTTACACAAACACGAAGGACTGATTTCGTCTGCGTACTTCAGGTGATTTGTAATAAAAAAAAACACAAATCCACCAAACGGCCACACACTAATTCTCCCGTCTCTGCCTCTCTCTGTGGGACGCGTTGCAACCTTCGGCTTCCACTCCGTAATTATTCTTGACCGCAACCACACGCTGGCCAACCCTCCCCGCTCACGAAGCGCATCGACCCGCTTACGTTACTTTGCACGTACGCACAGCGATCTCCAATGTGCACCAACTAAAAGCGATTAAACTATTGTACAAACATTTATATTTAACCCCCCCCCCCCCCCCGCAGAGCTGCGACGGCTCTGGGATGGATCCCTCGGCTAGGGCTCGTGCGCCTCAAATCGGTCAAGCGGCTCAGGCAAGTACGGAGGGCGTAGGCCGCGATTAGGCCCAAGCAAGAGCGTAATGGCGGCGGGGTGGCAATGTCAAAATATCAACGCACGAAGCAATTGGCGTCACTTCGCACTGGCGCAGGGGTAGACAGCAACCTCGTCGCGGCGCGATCACAGACTCACTCGGGCACGTAGGAGGCCGAGTAGCTCGACCACTTGTGCACGGAGTAGGCGAGGCGGCGGCCCACGGCCTCCATCGCCAATGCTAAGCGCCGCCCTCCAACGACGCCCATTGGCCGCGAGCGCGCCCACGTGACGGGCGAGAGAGACGCGCGTGGTTGGAGCGGCCGCTTTGGATTTGGACCAATGGGAGCGCCGATTTGGGATTTGAAATTGGGACGCACGTGGTGGCGTGCCAGGCTCAGCAGCTTCCAGCCTGGTCAATCAATGGAGCTGTGGCTTTAAAAAGGCCGCCTTTCTTGAACCAAACACATTATTTGGTGATTGTGCTAGCTAAGTAGTACCACTGTAGACTGGGCTATTTTCTTATACAAGGATATTTATTTGTCTGACCTGTTATTACCATTGGACAGTTCCAAAAGTCTGCGACGCGCGTCTGATTGTCTGTTAATAGTTCTTAGATTTTGCAAAAGCATTTAATGTAGCTGCCCCAAAGTTTTGGAACCACTTAGTTTCGTATCTTGGCATATCCGTTCTGCCATCACTCTCCTCATGTAAACTGACTATCAAAATAGCTAGAGTTAAGTGTGAATATAATTTTGCAACATAATTGCTGTTATTAAGTTTGTGTTTTAAATATCTAATTGTGGTATGCTTCTTAGCTAGATTGGTTTTCCTCGGGAAATACACTTTTGATTATGTGTGGAGGAATAGCAAAACTACACGAATTCTATACTCTTTGGTTCTATTCGGTAAAGTCACGTAGGTAAAAAATGAAACAACAAAAAATCACGATGTTTCGGCCACAACACAAGTGGCCTTCATCAGGTGAAGGGACCGGACTGTCCAGAGGACAGCGTTGGAGTGAAAACAGCCAAGCCCAGGTCGCGTCCTTTAAGCGCCTTGTCAAGGCGCTTTTGTTTCCTCCCACACAGCTTAAAGGGCGCGACCTGGGCTTGGCTGTTTTCACTCCAACGCTGTCCTTTGGACAGTCCGGTCCCTTCACCTGATGAAGCCCACTTGTGTTGTGGCCGAAACGTCGTGATTTTTTGTTGTTTTATTTTTTACCTACGTGACTTTACCGAATAGAACCAAAGAGTATGGATCCTTGCAGTCACGAAAGCTTCAAATCTAGAATACACGAATTCTCTCGTGAAGCCCTCTAGTGGCTAGCAGACCTCAATATTGACATTTTGCTACTGAAAAATATTGCCACGCAATAATCTAATTGCCAGGCTCAGCAGTTTCCTGCCTGGTCAATCAATCGAATTATATTGCTCCAAAGGGGCCTTTCTTGAACCAAACACAGTATTTGTGGCTGCTGCGTTGGCAGTGGGCCAAAAGCACAATTAACAACAACTCAATACACTTGACACCGTGATGTAAACAAGTGCAGTCTCCAACTCTTGTTATCTCTGTGGACTCTCTGTGTACTATGAAAAATGGTCATTGCCCGAAACGTCGCCTATGATATTTTTTTTCTTTTAAGGAAATATTATTGAAGAATTTGTGGAGGACTTTTTTTTTAAACCAAGGCATCTGTACATAAGTTATTATTCTCAAATTCAAATTTAATACCATGCAGCAAGAATATAAATCAGGTCAATATCAAACCTTACATTTGTCGAAGGGTGTTCATCTTTATCTCTAAATGCTAGGCTGAACCAGGTGTGTTTAAACATTTTTTAAAGCACTGGCCATAGAATCGTTTGGTGCACATTAATGAATAATCTATACAAAATCATTAAACTCAAAAGTGCGTCAATAATATTGCCTTCAAGTGAAAAAATATAGAACAAGCAATGTGTCAGGCAATGGTCAATAGGCATTACTCTTTAGTATGTTTCCTTTTAAGGCAGTATTATTGATGAATCTTAAGTGATAATTATTTTTTTTATTTTTTGTAAAAAAAATACTCACGTGTCGTTGTGGATAAATATAAATAATAAAATAACCCTTGGCCTAGTTTTTCACGATGACCACACTTGACCCCACCACACACCGCCTGCCGAGTAGACTAACGGTGGTGCACCCGGTCTGTATTACTGTGAAAAGCAGCTTCATAGCTCATCGGATCGTGGAGGATGGTAAAGGCGGAGGAGCATAGAAGTACAACACAATAGATATTTGCCGCCCCACAGCTCACAGCATTTGCTGCGGTGCAGTGGTGATGATCGCACTGCGCGTTGACTCTGGCTGCTTGAGTTCAATTCCCGGTCATGGCTAACGTCGTTGGCGAGTGATACCCAAACCGGTGCTGACCATCACACTTTCACCAACCCGCCCTGACAAGCTGAGTAAAGTATGGTCAAAGAACCCCCACAACCACTGCCGCGTATGGAGAACCTTCATCCAGCAAAGGAACGACACCGGGCTAATTTATTATTATTATAATTATTTATTTACATTACGTTGCAGCTGCCGCGGGCATCCAGGCTGCGCATCAACACACGGGCGAGTAGAAATCCGCGGCAGCAGCAGCAATAGCAACACGTGACAGGGCCGCGCTGCGCAGGAACTGCTGACGAGTGCGCAGGTAACGGAGGGCGCAGTTGGGGTGATGGTGGGGATGGTTGTGATGGTTGGAAGGAGCTGTTGGGGATGATAGTAATGCTGATGATGGTGGGGATGACGATGTTGATGGTGGTGAGAGTGGTGATTGATGCTGATGGTCGTACTGTTTGGTGATGATAAATGGGAGGATGGTGATGTTGACTGATGTTTATTATGAAAGCGCTACTGTATACCGTGATGTTGACAATGGACAGAATGATGTTGGTGATCGGTGTTTATGCATGTTATGATGTTGTTGGTCTTTAACGAGGATAACGGTCAATTAAAGTAAATGATGACGGCACTATTAAGTGATGTTCTTGTCAAGATGATGTTGATTATTAATAGGATGATGAAGGTTAACTGTGTTGATGATGATTGTTTATTATGATACAGTAGTCTATATTGATGATGATAATTAGTTTAGTGATTTCGTTGATAATGCTCATGACGATGTTCATGTCGACGAAAGACAATGGGTGTATTCGAGTCAATAGATGATGACAGCCATGCTGATGATGACAGTGATGAAGTCCATGATGATGATGAGGATTGGTAATGGTTCATATCAGGATTAGATAACGTCCCTGGCGCGAGCCAATCACGTGACTCCCTCCCTTGTTGGGCAACGGTGGGGGAATGGGGGGGGGCACTGTGGAGGGGGAGGGGCTATCGCAGGCTACGCCACGTGACCCCAATGCGTGTTCCCGCTGTTGTTTGCTGCTGCGGAGAAGTTTCGGGGGTGGTGGTGTGGTGGTGGTGGGGGCAGTAGGGGCTGGGGTGGGGCTAAGAGTAGTGGGCGTGGCCTTGGTTTGTTTACAACTCGGCTCTGACAGAGAGGCTGGGCAGTGCCACTTTAGTGCAGGGGGTGTTTGGCCCAAGAATCATTGAAGCAGATAAACACAGCATGCTGCGCCATAGGTTGTCGGGGCAACCGGTGTTAGCGAGCACCTATTAAGGGGCCCGTAACACCGCCGTCCGCGGCGCACGAGCGGGTAGTGTTATGGCCAGAACCACTCCACGGCCGTCTTTGTCTCCCTCGGTGCTGATGAGTGATTTATACATAGACCAGGTACTCAATTGAGGGCTGAGACGACCTAGTGGAAGCACAGGACTGGTTCTGATATGAATCACCGCTAATGTGAGCCGTGGTCGGGTTCGTAGCGCAGTGCTTTAGCGACTGCGCCATCGCTTTCGCACTGACACACGCACCGACACACCCACACTGACACACACACACCCACACTGACACACACACACCCACACTGACACATACACCCACACTGACACATACACCCACACTGACACACACACCCACACTGACACATACACCCACACTGACACACACACACCCACACTGACACACACCCACACTGACACACACACACCCACACTGACACACACCCACACTGACACATACACCCACACTGACACACACCCACACTGACACACACACACCCACACTGACACACACACACACTGACACACACCCACACTGACACACACCCACACTGACACACACACCCACACTGACACACACACACCCACACTGACACACACACACCGACACACCCACACTGACACATGGGAACTCGGGTCGCCAGGTTCGTAGCGCAGCGCGCTAACCGCCACACGACCGCTCCCCACCCACAAAGACACACACACATAAAGACACACACACAGACATACACCCACAAAGATACACACATAAAGACACGCACACATAAAGACACACACATAAAGACACACACAGACATACACACAAAGACACACACACACAAAGACACACAGACATACACACACAAATACATACACACACAAAGACACACACACACAAAGACACACACATACAAAGACACACACACAGACATACACCCACAAAGATATACACACAGACATACAAACACAACCTGACTCTCCCTCAGCCATACAAAAGACAAATCCCCCTTATAGACTTAACAGACTGTTGTGGCAAGTGCTGTTAGCGAGAAGCACATGTAAAGGCCTGGATGGCCAGTACTATGCGCGGCTGTCACTGTCTCCCCGGTGACGATGTTTACACATCGCACCAGGGCACTCATTTGAGGCTGAGTCGACCTAGGAGAATGCCCAGATAATCGTCGCGCGCGCGCACCCAAACACGCAGCAGCGGCGCTTCGTAAACACGCGCAGTGGTTCTCACTGCACAGAAACCCACGGTGTGGGGGGGGTGTTGGGGGGAGGGGGGGTGGAGGTGGATTCGGGGGATGGGGGGGGAGGGATGCGGAGAGCGCGTGGCACCACCTGCGCAGTCGCTATCAAGTAACGCGGTACCCACCGCCACCACTGCATCTCATCAGGGTCATTCTAGGCAACCAGAGCTGCCTCAGGAGCGAGGCGGAGAGGTGGGGCGATGGGGCTGTGTCTCTGCGCCTCCTGAGTGTGTCTCTGTGTCTCCTGAGTGTGTCTCTGTGTCTCCTGGGTGTGTCTCTGTGTCTCCTGGGTGTGTCTCTGCGCCTCCTGAGTGTGTCTCTGTGTCTCCTGAGTGTGTCTCTGTGTCTCCTGGGTGTGTCTCCTGGGTGTGTCTCTGTGTCTCCTGGGTGTGTCTCCTGGGTGTTTCGGTGTGTGCGGTGTGGGGGGGTGTGGAGCGGTAATGTAGTGGTGAGCGCACTGCGCTGCGAACCCGGCGATTCCGAGTTCCGTTCAAGTTCACGGCCAAGAACAGTGTCGAATGATTGAACCTGTCCTGGGCGTCCCCTAGGTCGACTCAGCTTTAAATTAGTACTTGGTGCGGTATCATCACTGGGGATACAAAGGCGGGCGAGCGTGGTGTTGGTCACCCCACGTGCGCCGGTCCGGCCTAAAGAGGCGCTTCCTAACAGTACTTGCCCCGACAGTCCATGTAGACTACACGGGGGATCTTTGTTTTGTTTGAGTGTGCATGGGTATGTGTCCGTGTGTGCGCTTAAATGTGCGTATGTGCGTGTGTTTGCGCGCATGGGTGTGTGCGCGAGTCCGTGAGTGTGTATGTGCGTATGTGGCAGGGAGGGAGCTGTGTGAATAGAGATGGGGGGGGAGCCCCCACGGGGGGGGAGCCCCCACGGGGAGGCGACACCCCGCTGGATTCCCTCTCCCTCTGCAGGGGTGTACACACATGGGGGGGGGGGGGGCACGGGAGAGAGGGGACGGACGAATCGGAAATACATCTGCGCCATGTCTTCTCCTCCTCCTCCCCCTGCTCCTCCTCCCCGCGTGTTATTTTTATTTTATTTTTATTCCTTCCTGCTCGACCGCCACGAGGTGTCGACTGCCAGGAGTTGCGCAGATGTCATGCGGCAGGCACCACGCGGAGCCGCGCACAGACCCGGCTCTCCCGACTTGAACCTTCGCTTCCTTGCCCTGCCCCCCCCCATTCATCATCATCAGCAAGCACCGCAGGTAAGGCCCCCCTTGAAATAATAGTTGGGAACGGAGCGCGCGGGGTTTTTGTGGTGGTTGGATTGGCGGTGGTGGCGATGGTAGTGGTGGTGTGATGCGGTCTGGTTGGTACTGTGATGGCAAGGAGAGCTGCTTGCGGAATAACCGGATGCTCTGCGCGTTCTTAGTTTGCGTGGTGGCCAGGAGATGGTAGTGCAGCAAAAGCGGATTCTTAAATCCGTCTGTGCGGAGCTTCTTTGACTGTGTATATATGTACGCGTGCATAGTCCGCGATGTGTTATGAAACCCAGGCACCCCCCTTGTGTGTGCGTGGAGAGATGCTCTCCGGCTAACTCCGGGTTCCCGAACTCGCGCGGTGCCAAAACAAACGGCATTGACCCAACAACATCCCAATCAGGCGGCGGCCGAAGCAGCAGCAGCAGCAGCCTCTTGCGAAGGAGGTTCGAGACTCGGCGAATAAAGAAGTGCGTCATGGCTGTTTTCTATTTGAGCTGCGTCAGAGGTGGGGCAGAAGTGCCGGGGCCAGAGAGCGGCGCACTCCGCTCACACGGCTTTGTCGATGAATCGACGCGATTGATAATGATCCAAGTCGTTTCAACAATGACATGACGTGTTGGTGGGGGGGGGCACAAGTTCCGTCCCCCGGAGAGAGGAGACGGAGCGAAAGATCGTTAGATCTTCACCCAACAGTGGATAGATCATGGCTTGTGATGATGGAGGATGACGAGGGGAAGGGTTTGTGTTTGTGTTCGGACTGTGTTGTGTATGCGTGTCCTGTTGTGTGTATCCACTTGTGTGTGTGTGTACACGTGTGTGTACACGTGTGTGTGTTTGTTGTGTGTGGCGAGCGGTGGCGCAGTTAGCGGGCTGAGCTGCGAACCCGGCAGAATTCGATTTCCGCTCACGGCCACCCAACGCCAGTGACGACGATGATCTGAACCAAGTCATGGACGTGCCTTCGGTAGACTCGGCCTCAAATGAGTACCGAGCGCGATGTGTAAAATGATCGTCACGAGGGAGACAAAGGCGGCCGAGCGTGGATTCTGGTCATACCACTCGCCCCTCGCGTGCCGTGCCGGCCTTCAGAGGTGCTACTCGCTAACAGCACTTGCCTCAACATTGTGTTATGTCTGTACGGGGGATCTTTGTCTTTGTGTACACTATTCATGGATGTAGATACACAGTCATGTGTATGTACATACATGAATAGTTAGCACATATGCACAGTATACACACGCGCGCGCGGTTGTATATATGTAAAGATATGTGCAAGGGAGACGAGAAAGGGAGAACGGAGAGTCGGGGAGACGAGGAGACGAGGAGGCAGGGCGAGGGCACAGTGAGGGAGGTTGCCAGCTCGCATTATGAAAATCACCGCCGCCCGCGCGGAAGTTAAAGCGTCTGTGCCAACGCGTGACAACACGTGCTAACTCCCTCCACATCCCCCAAGAGCTCCCCTCTCTCCATCTCCCTCCACATCCCTCCAGCTCACTCCAGCTCCCTTTCTTTCCCAACTCCCTCCAGGTCCCTCTTGATCACTATCATCGTCTTCCTTCATTGATTTGCTTATGCATTCTGATTTAGTCGGATTCATGTATGGGTTAATTCATCATGGTTATTTCTATTTTATGATTGTGATTCCTTCTGATCCATCCATTCATCGTTTCGATTAATTAATTTGATTTCTTTGATGCTTTCGATTAACTCTGACCCAATCATTCCTTATTCTTTTTTCGTTAAGATTCACCCATTCACTTGTTTCATTCACTATTATTCCTACAACACTTAATAACAAACTTCCCAAACAGAAGGGTTAAACTTCCCCATTCATTTGCGCATTCCTTCTGATTCATTATCTATCAATTTATTGACGTTTTGGGCTATGATCCCTTCGCAGAGCACAGATAAGATGCAGAACGATTCATACCTCGATGCCATAAAACAGATTTTATTTCAATAAACTTGTCAAGATTAAATTTTATATGTAACCAATGACTGCCCAACAAAAACATTCATTTCGGCTCTGAAGCTAATATGGATACATTCCAGCGCTGAGAATTACAAATATCGGTTTGACCGTGATATAAAAGTCACTCCTCTTATATGGCAGGGCGAGTGACAAAGTGCTGCCCTCGACCGTGAGTGGACGAGAGAGCATTTGAATAATGGATATCGGAGGTAGCACTGTAGTTTCCGCTTCCGCAGGCCTCTAACATGCGATGTTGCACTTCTCTGTGAGAGTTCCGAATGGATTCTTTGTCTCGTGATAATAGTCATAACAATATTTGGGTTCATATATTAGCGTTGTCCATACAAATTGCATCTCTTACAATCGCTGATGAGGAACCCACAGACGAGCTGGAAGGCAGCAGCTAGGCGGTGAGCCGGCGTGACCAACAATTGCCCCGGGCAGCTCTGCAGTCCTCTACATGTGAAGATGCTTTCAGCCAATGCGCGTTCATACATGTGGGAGGAGACTGAAGCACGCAGAGAAGCCCCATGCGTGCAAGGGGCATGAAGCCAATCGCGCAATTGGGGTAACATTTTGGGGGGGGGGGGGAATTACAAAAATGTGTAGCTTAAATAAACATCGCATTGGAGCAGTTCGCACTACCAGAGACTGTATACATTCCGTCCTGAGTCAGTGGCGGTGGAAATTCCACATTCCCACGGCGGGGAGCGGTCGACCCAAACGGACGACCGTGGCTGTTGACGTCGCAACAGATGAGTGGTTGTGATCCTCGTTTTATCGACCACGCCCTCACCGAGGAGAGATGATGATTGGTTCGAATCTATGAACCCACAACCCTTGTTAACAACCGGTTGGATGCTGACTCGGCGACTTATCCAAATCCGCGTGAGTGCAGGGAGGCGGGCGGGTGGATGGAGGGTGGGGGGAGAATTGGGGGACGGGGCGGTGCTGTGCTGGATGATTGACAGATCGATTCGTGAGAATATTCTTTATAACCTGCCGGTTAACGATAGCTCATGACATTATTGTCCACAATCAATCCACTGCTGGGTTAATGAAGGCTTCCTCAAGCCGTCGCCATCTCCCCACGCGTCTGTGATGTGACGATCCTCAAAGGGCCAGTGCACGAGCTGATTCCATCTCTCCATCTCCTCGGTGTGCATCCACTGGGATGCGTTCCATCGCTTGGCTACCAGTCCGTTACAATTCTTGACCAGTGGCCGTTGGGGTTGACCCAATAATAAAGCGAACGTGAAGGGGGTTCACCTGTTCATGAACGCGTCGCTGATGTTGGCTCGCGCTTCGGAAAGTGATGTGGTTCCAAGTGTTCAGGTTCGTTTGATTAACCAGGTGAGAATAAACTCGGGAGACCGGAATCGAGTCTCGTTTGCAAGCGTCGCCTGGCTCTCTCGTCACAATGGCAAACAGAAAAACAAGTACTGGAGGAGTTTCTCCCCTGGGTGAAAATTAACGGAATTGCTGCGGAATTTAAACAAAAATAACGATTTGGAATTTAGCTTTTTGAATAATTGTTCAGTTCATAAATGTAGACGCTTGCGTTCTGTAATCTGATTATCTCCCACGATTCGTCGTTCAGCTGATGATGCTGCTGCCACTATAGCCTGCTGATGATTATTATGCTGCTGATAGAACTACTGCCGCCGCTGCTGTTAATAACGATGATCATCCTATAGACTGGACACACTCGTGCATCGAATCGTCCAAACATCCCAAAGTAGCAGCACCCTCCTGAAATGGAGTCTTGAGACTCTGTGAGGCTTTCCTGTGTGAATAAAGGGCATTCATGTTGACCACGTGTCAGGGCATAATATGCCCTGACACGTGAGCCAGATATAGATCAGGTCAAAGTTGGGGTTAGGAGTTAATGATAAACTGGTGGTGAGAGATGGGGCCAGAGAAGGAGTTGTTGCTTAGGGATAGATTTGGGGTTGGGGTTACAAGTAGGGTTGAGTTAGGGGCAAGGTTTAGGTTGGGGTTAGGGGTAATAGAGCTGCGGTTATGTTGTTAACCTGAGGTTAGTGTTCGCTTCATGGATAGCATTGAGGTTAGGATTATGGTTAGTGGTAGGAATAGAGTTCGGACCCGTGTTAGAAATAGAGGTCGAGGGTTAGTGTTAAGAATTTGGCCAGCGTTAGGATTCGGGCGAGAGTTAGGGTTAGGGATAGAGCGAGCTCAGTGTTTGGCCGGGAATCTGTTTTTCACAGTCCCAGTGTTTTCCAACACGCAGCACCACGTGGGGACTTTCCCAGCACAGGGGGAACGTCTCAAATACGTTTCCCAGAAACATCGGAGTCCATAAGAAGTATTTGCCAGAGTCTTTACGAGAACACACATATAACAAAAATAATTACAAGGTTTCCCCCGCGTAGCCTCCAAAGACTGTTGGGGCAAGTGCTGTTAGAGACCAGCTACGAATGCCAGCACGGTGCGTAAGGGGGTGGTGTGGCTAACACACCAGGCCCGGCCTACTTTGTCTCCCCGGTGCCAATTACTTGTACACCGCACCAGTTGCTCATTTGAGGCTGAGTCGACCTAGAGGGAGACCCATGACCAGTTCACAAATATTCCTCGCCAGTGTTGGCTGTGAGGATGAATCGAACTCGGGTCTCTGGGTTCGTCGTGCAGTGTTCTACCCACTACGATACCACTCCCCACACAGATAACACACACACTCACACATTGGAGTGTCTGGCAGGTATGATAATGCTGGCCTTTGATACATTGAGAACAGGGTCATTTAGCTTGTCTCGGTAATTGGCTAATTGATTACACTCTGCGTGGGTAAATGAAGCAGTGCGGTTGGTGTTGTTTTATTCACTCACTGGTGTCACTCACGTGCCACGAGATGAGCAGGGGGAGGACGCCTCTTTGCGCGGCCCTCGTCGCAAGCTGTGCACCTCCGTGTGTCGATGTGCGCGCGTCTTACTAAAGGGGTGTGCACGAGGGGTCTGAAGGTGAGGTGCGGGAGGTTAAAAGGGGGTATGGAGAGGAGGGGTGTTTTAGGGGT